AAAAAAAAGAAGGAGAAAATTAGTATTTAATAAGGCAATTGAAATAGAATTAGTTGATAAGTCAACTAAAAATAGAAATTTCAACGAGCTTATTTGAAAAACTATCCTATAAAGCTTACTATTTAATCTCAATATTTTTTTTTTAAATTGTCGTACCAATTCAAACTTATTTACATACATAAAACTTATAAGCTAACCGAATAAGCTATAAGTCTTGCGCTTACCAAACATACTTTTTGTGTGAACTAATTTTCAACCACTAAGGGAGCGATTTACAATAGATTAAAACCGAATTTGACCGATCCCATAATTTTTTTACACTCTTTAATTCAAACTTCAACTCAAATTTAATTCAATATAAACTTAATTAATATAATTAATAATATCAATCAATAGTCCTTACACATCATATATTAATTCACTATTTATTCTCCCACTTATTTTTAACTACCTATCATTTTCAATAATATTTCTTATATATTTACATTATATCAACTTTAATTATTATATTTTAAATATTATTTAAGTACAAACTAAAAATCTCACATTATCTATCATTATATAAAAAGAATAACCTTTTTACAAATTTGGAAATTTTTTCCCGCCAAAATCATTAAATATATCTTGCATATAGTAATTGTTGGACAAATCTGAATAGGCAAAAAAATCGGCTCATTAATTGTGTAAAGATTTATTTTTTTTTTCCTGTTTTTTAGTTTATCAAAACCGTTATTTGACAATAAATATTTGTTTTTCTTTTTTCCTATTTTTAGCATAAATTTACACGAGCTTATCTTTTCTGTTACAAATCCCATTGCATACGTGTTTAAAAAATCTTATCTCTTATCTATACAAATTTAAAAAAATAAAATAAAATAGAAACCAATTCTTAATTACTACTAAAAATCCATTATCTTTAAAAAGAAAAAATAAAATAAAATAGAAACCAATTCATAATTACTACTAGAAATCCATTATCTACTTTAAGAAGCTAATTTTCATCGGTCTAATTACTAATATTTTTACAAATATTATAAGCTAATCATACAAAAAAGTATAATAATAATTGTAATCAAATTTTTTTATATTCTCTTATACAAAATAATTTTACATTGTTTGACCCCGAATCTTTATTTATAATTATTAGTATTGTTTATCCTCCTCTTTAATTTATAATTATTTTTTTTCTTCCTCTTTTTAAATAAGATCAATAGTAATTTCCACTTCCGCCATTGAGTGACTCAAACTCGAGGTCTATTTATAATATTGTTCTCGTGCGTACACACTAGTTTAAAATTGAACTCACTTAACTCAGAAATTCAGTCAACACCGGTTTTGATTTCAAATTGTCTCCTGTCTGTAGCATGTGAAAATGGTGCAAATTACTGCAAGAACTGTAGGAAAACCAAGTGTAGGGATCACTGAGGGGTATGTAGTAGTGCGTCCTGCCGCCCGGCGATGATATTGATGCTCCGAATCATGGTTTCTCGAATCAATTCCCTCTTATTGTTCTATTATTCCCTCTCCACTTTCTCCGTCACTTCATAAAAATTCACTCGCATTTTCTCCGATTTACACCCACATTGATAATCTCTTTTAGTATAAATGCTTAATTTAGAGCATTACGTCGGGATCTTGACCAAGGAACAGATCAATCTGCCGCCGATGGGCGGATTGTTCCTAGAAGACTCGGCTCCGGCAGCACTGGCTTCATCAATTTATCCGAGGAAGAGTTCTGCCAGAACGAGTATTCGGTGTTCTTCCCGGACGAGTCACCGGAGGGCGGTGATCGGAGGCGGCTCCCGGCGGCGGCGCGGAAGATTCATGTCGGCGACGCTGTCATCGATTAACGATGGTGGCAGCGGTGGTGAAGAGAGCTGCGGTGACGATCAGCTTTCAGTGAGCGGCGTGTGGAATTCAGGGGAGAGAGAGAATGATGGCGGTTTCGAAACGGCGTCGTTTAAGGAAGTTGGGAAGAAGGGACTATTGAGAGGAGGCGGTGGGGCCACCTTGAACACTGCTAAGCATCTCTGGGCCGGTGCTGTTGCCGCCATGATTTCGAGGTCTGTTTGTCTGTGTGTTTTTTGCCGTCTTTTTATAAAGTTTTATTCCGCTTTCAAAATTACAATACGGTAGGTAAATCTCTTGATGCATATTTTTCTCTTCCTTGCGGGTGATAGTAATTGCTATGAGAAAATCTGTTCAAATGTCATAGTGAGGGAAGAGGAAAAAATACTTACCCAGCTAGTAAATTGTGATTGAACTGATATAGAAAGTTGAAACATATGGATTACCTTGTTTGTGCTGTTTTAGTTCTGTGGCGATCAGCTATACGATATAGATATTATCTCCATGCCCGGCAGACAGGTTCTTGCCAAGCATGCTCAAAATTGCGATATCTCTGGTGAGTCTTACTCATATAATCATATTATTACCAAACATTGTTTACTGTTAAGATGTGAGGATTTATAGTGTAACACCATTGAAGATTTTAACTTTGCAGTAGATTTTAGAAATGATAATTTCTATTTGTAATCAGAAATGGTTTCCAAAACTATTCTCTGCTGCAATGTTTATGATTAGAGAGCTTGAAAAACAATAATTTGATTAAACGTAGTTTCCAAGAACTACTTATGTCATTTTGCTCATGTTGTCCAATTACTATAGTGTCAAGTGAATCATAGCTCTTAGAGGACTATATAACCAATACCTGAGTACAGTCAAACGTTAGTGAGGTTGGAAGCTATTGCTGAACTGAATGCTAGAGGCAAGAACCATACCAAGTGTCGATTGGGTGAGCAGGGCATTTGTTCCTGAAAATTCTATGACATGAAGCTGGTATTATGTAGGTTGATGTTGAATTTGCAAATCGACCCTATGCCCAATCAGTTTCCAAATACTGTAAGGAAGTGCATATTGTAATGCTTTTCGAAGTATGGTTGTTTGTTGTACTGTGCTTTGGACTATGGTCTATGTCTGAATTAAGGTTGTCACTAGACTCTCACTCTCTCTCTTGGTTACCTACCTTTTTATACAGACATACACAATTCTAGTGAAAATGAAATTGATAACAAACTTTCCACAGTAGCATAAGTGTGATCACAGAAGTTGGACATGTTCCTGGGGAACATTGTCATGCTTGGGATCTCTAAAAGAGAACACATTTGGCTTGTTGGTTGATGGTGGTTGATACATGTAAAACACGTAGTAAATGCCGTGTTGGCATTGAATATTTATATATTTTATGGATTAGTGTCGTTATTTAGTTTTCAACATTAATCCACAATAATAAGACATTTGATTAATAAATAAATATTTTCCCCAAAAAGTCAAATCTCAAGACGGTGGATGGAAATCATATCGAATTATGAAGGACCAATCAAATTGCATCATTCGCCAAGTAATTTTGGTATGGTTCTTTCTCCAACCTTCCGAAAGCCAAAAAATACAACTCATAATATAAGTTTCAAGTTCAAAAGCTCTCAAATTCATGTTTTTCACATTTTGGTAAAATTACGATGTTTGATCCGACAAAAAAAATTTCAAGCCCTCGAATCAACGCTATTCAATTTCAATCCATCTTCAAGGAATATCGAATAAACAAGTCCTCCAAATAAGTCTTTCCACCCCATATTAATGTTAATTGAATTCAAGCTCAATGCCTGTAGGATATCCAAAAGGTGAATCCACATCGAAGATACAAATCCAAGGCGATAGAGTGATTATTAGAAGGTTTCATATAGAGATTGTATCCGCAACACAGTTGATCGAATGGAATCATGTTGTGCAGTCATTTTACATATTCGCATAAAATTTATTGTTACATACTGCACACATTTATTTACATTTGATATAAGCTTAACTTTCTATATCTCGTGTCCTTTTTTGTGAACCAGAACCTTTGTTGCACCATTGGAGAGATTAAAGCTGGAATATATAGTTCGTGGTGAACAAAGGAATCTTATTGAGCTCATTAAGTCGATAGCAGCTTCCCAAGGGCTGAAAGGATTTTGGAAAGGAAATTTTGTCAATATTTTACGAACAGCACCATTTAAGGCCATCAATTTTTATACTTACGATACATATAGAAACCAGCTGCTCAGATTGTCTGGCAATGAAGAGACGACAAATCTTGAGAGATTCGTTGCGGGTGCTGCAGCTGGAATTACTGCTACAATTCTCTGTATACCTATGGATACTGTAAGCTACCCTACAAATCTCCTGCATTTTTCATTGATTGCTTGAATGAGATGTACTAGCTTGAAAATTAGAGTAACTGCCTTTAAGGCTTGGCTTGATAAGAAAAAACCAAACAAACTCTAAAATTGTTTTCATTTTGCATTTGCTAGATGAGCTAAAGGAGGTTCCCTATGTTAATTCAAAAGATGGCTAAAATGTCTCATTTCTGTATGCTTCCCCTACATTTATCTGTGGCACATTGGCTGCGCATCGTGGCACGACAAAGTTGAAGTTATTAAGTTTTGCTCGACTAATCTCAGCTAACTAGTAGTAGCGGCAAGTAAGAATCGATCCAAAAGGAGGAGAAAAAACTAAATTGTAACTAATTTATATTAACTGAAAAATGGAACTATGAAATCAACGAAATAGGAGGTTGTTGAATAATATCTAAACTAACTATGAAACAACTAAAATAAAAAGGCAAATAAAATGACAAAATAAAATATATGAAATGAATGAGAGGAATCCACTTCTCATATCAGTAATCACCCAATTTAAGTATATCTTTAATTAATCTCTGCCACAGTTTAAGTATATCTTCTTAAAATTGTTAATGAATTAAACCTTAGTTAACTAAAGCTTCTTTAGCCGAGTTTTCCCTTACCGAATATTTAATTGAAATAAGACTTCGACTAAATCTAACTAGTGAATAACTCAAAATGAGCTCCTTAGATTTAATGCACCAACAACATTAATCCTAGGAAAATAGATTAGTCTAAGCAACTAATACATGTTTAACTTATGTTTATGCTAGTCTAGAGATACATGACCCCTAGTTTACTACTAAGGAATGAAACAAGATTAATAACAAATACAATACAGCTTAAAGTCTCAAAGCTATGAAATGAATCATGAACATTCAACTTAGCAAGCCTAATTAATTCAAACATCCATAATTCATAAATGATAAGAACATATAGCATAAATCAACTCATCAACAAAAATAATACAACATTTTAATCAATCTTATATAGAAAAAATCCTTTTGTTCACAGAAATATCACTGTTAGGATTCAAACATTCCTTGAAACTGGACAAATTAGACTACTTTAACATAATAGAGAGAGCTAAAAGAGAAGAAAAAGATTTTTCCCCTTAGTGTGCGGCTTCACTCCGCGAGTGTGTCTCCAATCTTCTTTCTTTTTCTGTCAGCAGTCTCCAAGTCTCTGTTGTGATGCTGCTTTATAGTTGCTCCTCTTTTCTAATTAATTCTCTAGCTGCTTCCCCAAGTGTCATCTCCCAAGAAAGTCAATGTTGGGCCCAATTCATGAAACATCGCCCAATTCTATATTTTACTTTGATCTCCTCTTAAATACATTATTGACTAGTTTTTCTAAATGTGTTATCTTATGCTCCTAGAAAATCAGCTGCAGCCTCCCCAAGTTTTATCGACTTTAGAGCCTTCTGTAAACTTTGGACGAGATTAGGCCTTATTGTTCTGGTAATAGAGGCACAATAATGCTTGTTCGAACTATTGTTTAATTGCTCGCCGTCCAAGTCATTACTCCAAAATGTTGAAAAATTGAGAATAAAAGTATCAAAGCACACAAATCCATAAAAAAAACAAGTCGAAAAATATATAAGTGCGACTTAATTGAGCTCACATTATAAATACCCTATTAAATATATAAAATATGCACAATTTTCGACCTATCACACATTTCTTTGCTATTTCTTTTCTTCTTTATTTAAGCAAATGTGATCAATAAAAATCATGTAGACTTTCATTATCATCAGTATGAAGTTATTATCGTCAGACTCACTTCAACCTCGTACAACTGTTAACAGCTTCTGCTAATATATACTACTCCCGCAGCAGAAGCTTTTAGGTTCACCATGGACATTCTAACTCTGTCAGAAATCAAAAAATCATTTGTAATATTATTGTATCGATAACTACATACGAGGGCTATTATCAGGATATTGACTCCATGTAGCCTCACTCAACATCACGAATCATTGAGACATGTCAAATGGCATTAGCCCAAATACTGCAAATTTCCATATATTCCATGCACATTTTGTACATTTGGACATCTAGTACTTAATCTTAGTGATTGTTAATCAAAATTTGACAGTATGAGTAAAACAATTTTTTATTTTTTTTTTCCTATCCATGGTGCAAAGTGATCATTAGTGGCTTTTGCTCACAGTAACTCGTCTTTGGAAATGACACAATTCTTTGTAAACTTTCAGATCAGAACAGTCATGGTTGCACCTGGGGGAGAAAACTTGGGTGGATTAATCGGCACTTTCCACCACATAATCCATACCGAAGGATTCTTTTCTCTGTACAAGGGCTTGGTTCCCTCAATCATCAGCATGGCCCCTTCTGGTGCCGTGTTCTATGGAGTCTATGATATATTGAAATCGGCTTATTTACATTCCCCACAAGGCAAACAGAGGCTTCAGCACATGAAGCAACAAGGTGAAGAGTTGAATGCTCTTGAACAACTCGAGCTGGGTCCCATCAGAACTTTGATGTATGGGGCAATTGCCGGTGCTTGTGCCGAAGCTGCTACGTACCCGTTTGAAGTGGTGAGGAGACAACTTCAGATGCAAGTTCGTGGGGCGCAAATGGGTGCTTTGCAGACTTGTTTGAAGTTAGTCAGGCAGGGTGGTGTCCCAGCATTATATGCAGGATTGGTACCGAGTTTATTACAGGTGTGGACTAAAACTTTTTTTTTTTTAATGGGTACAGGTGAAAAATTTAAAGCGTGTTCGTGTGTAATATTTTGTGGCTCTCTCTCTCTTTGCTGTTTAAGTCGTGATTTATTGTAATTGTGTGAATTTTCTAAATCCTGATTTCGAATTTCTGAGTGTCTGTTTTCTACTGTGATTTAATTAACATTGTTATAACTCATCTAAGCTTTTTTTATACATTTAGGTAGTTTGTCTGAGTATGATCTGCCAAATGGAGGTTTAGGTAGTTTACCCGAGTATGACCTACCAAATGGAGAGATGCAACATTGCTCCTAGAAGGACAAACTTGTGGATCATGTCAGGAATTTAATAACTTCAGGGAATTTTAGCGTTCAATGATTTTAGTAGATACATACACGTTAGAAAAAAGTTTCAGTTTACTGTTGTCACGAAATTTATGTTTGAAAGTTATTTTTTAAACATTGCCAAGCTAAACACTTCATACCCATAGGCACAGCTGAAGGTATGGTACTTGGATGAAGTTTTAGTGACAAACATTTTAGAGTATTTATACCACGTCAAGTTCTTGGCACAGTGAATAATAGCATTTTTGTAGTTGTTATATACACCTCTAAATTTAAGCAGTAACCAAATCAATCACCGCGCATTTATAGTAGAGATGAACTGTAAAATTTGAACTTTGTGTTTATTGATGTAATTAGTTACTGTGCTAATGTTGTCAATCTTGATTTTCTTTTGGTATTTCAATCCAGGTTTTACCGTCAGCTGCCATTAGTTATTTGGTGTATGAATTCATGAAGATTGTTCTTAAAGTGGAGTAAAGAAAGTAAGAGCTGACCCTCTTTAGCCTAATTTGCTGATGTGAACACATGCTTACTGGTACTGACAACTCAGGACACCTGGAAAACAATGTTGGATTTGATCGAACAGAAATATCAGATTATAAAACATTCAGCCTGCAAACGGTACAGATTCCCCTTCTTCTTTTTTTTTTTCCCTCCTTTTTGGTTCCTTTTTCTAGTTTATTCTCTCTTTTTTGGGCGGGTTGGTGGTGGGTAGAGAATTTCCCATATTTTTAGGACTTAACTACGAGAAACGTACCATTGAAGCTGCAGTTGCAAAAAAGTCCAAGTATCTTTAAGAATTTTCAAATATACGTTTTCTATTTACGAGTTGGACCTATTTGACAAAGACTTTGTAGTCGTTATTACACAGATACCTTCTTGTAATTAGGATAAACTTCAGGGACAAACTTGTTATGTGTTGCATGATTGTGATCCCTTTATTTTTTTTTTTTTTTTTNGCATGATTGTGATCCTTTTTCTTCTCTTTTCTTTTTTTTTTCCTCTCTCTTTCTCTTGCACTGTAACGTCTCTGTCTGATATGATAATTTCCCATATTTACCTGTGAACAGCTTTTATATAACTATTTTTATTAATGGGTTTACAGTCATAGCCCTATAGCCATGCAATTTTTGCTCCAGCATATAGTATCAGTGCATAATTGTCTCATTTTTCTTAGTGGAATGTTTGGATATTATTCTTGCAGCAGTATTTATGAATTATAAATAGTAATTTAGACAACTACGTTGAGCTTTAGAGGGATATAAAAAGAAACCTAAAATGTTGGATGATTGAGCATTTTAAACAATTGGAGAAGGAAATATGCACAGGTGGAGTAAAGAGCTCCATTTGTAGGTATATGTGCTAGATGCAATAATTAGCATCGGAATGTAACCATTATTGTCCAAATAAAATATGTACAAAGTTGATTTATGCATGATAAATGCAATTTTAACAAGAGTTGCCAAGGAGATTACAAATCGTGAGTTTAGCCACCTTTATTATTATTATTATTATTATTATTATTATTATTATTATTATTATTATTATTATTACAAGCCATAAGAAAGTACATACATTGAGCCATCCATGCAAAATTTGATTATTTTCTACGTTGGTTACCGAGAATAATAAACAATGCACCTTAAATTACCAGTAATACAAAAGTGAGGGCGCTAGGATTATAAATGGGCCTATTTGCAAATTTAACGTGATTAAATATAAAAAATTGTAAGTTTACATAATTTTAAAATTGTTTGCGCATGTACGAAATTAAAGTAAAATTATTAGGTAGTTGCTAGATACCAAAACAATGCATTGACATATAGTTTCATAACTAAATCCCCTAACTAAAGGGTTGCACCATAATACTGAAATATCATAATTGAACGAATTTACATTAATAACAAAATATCATCCCTAAAAATGCTCCTTTTCTCACTCTTCTCTCTCACTCTCATTCCCTATGTTAGGAGAAAAGCAAAAAACTGATTGTATACTCAACATAACCATATACATATACATATACATATACATATACGTGATTGTGTCTCCGAAAATATATACTGAAAATATACTACCTATATACACAACATATACAATATATAAACATCACATATACAGTCTTGAAAACAGCTACAGAGTTGCAGCCCCATATACTGTAAGTATATCATTCGTACACATATATATAACATAATCGTGTTATATACATTCCGTTCCTTGCTCTCTCATCCCCCAATCGTCCTCTTTCTCTCTCCTCTCGTGACCCCAAATTAGCCGATCAATGGCTCAAGACCACACCCCACTACTCTCTGCCCTTAGTCGTCTCCATCTCGTCCAACTCGTGTCGTTGCACGTTGGTTGTAATAATTGAGATTTTGCCACCGGTGCCTGACAGATCGAGTCCTACCACCCTCGGCTGAAGCCCGCTGTCTGGTGACCTCCGCCACTCACGAGCTAGAAGGGACCGCTGCCGACTTTCCGGCTTCTGTAGAAAAAAAAAAAAAGAATCACAGAAGGGAGATGAAGAAGATAAGGTAAGAGAAAAAGATGTGGAGTTTTAATGTCATAAAAAGTGGAAACCTTTTTTGTCAAAAGATAATTTCATAAATAAAATACAATTACATTTAAACCATCATTCTAGTATTTATGCAAATAAATATGTTGGTTTTAGTTGTTTTGCTAAATTTTATATATAAATAGTATAAATGTAATAAAAATGTTATTATGTGGTGTAACAAGTAATTTTCTCATTATAAATGTCATAGTCGGGAGAGAACATGGTTACATGGTTACTAGAGACCATGTAAAAGAGGGGTTACATGGTTAAATTACCTCTTTTACATGGTCTCATACCTATAACCATCCCTAACTGGGGAACTCCACCATCTATCGTCCTTTCTCCCATTCGACCTCTTTCTTTTGGACGAGCTTCCCCTTTCTGATCTCCTCGCCTCTGGCCGCATTGCTTTCTCTGCCTTAATAAAATTAGCTTCTGCCCCTTCTATGTTTATGTATTTAGTGAACCTCTCCAGAACATCATATTAGGCATGTGCTGGTTTTTTAGATAATGAGCTCCGACAAGGACCTACCCTCAAACCCCTAGTCAATTCCCCCAAGTTTGACCTCCTATAAAGTTGAATGTATGTCTACACAAGCTCGCGTATAATGAGCTACATAATTATCTCAGAGACTCACTCTCCTGCTACTACATGGCCATTAATGTGAGGTAAGTCTTCTCATGAGCCATGGCACTAGCGAACTAGTTAAAGAATATAGACGAGAACTCCTCAAAATCTCCAAGTGACCCCAGGGTCAGCCGATGAAACCAATCTTGAGCTCCTCCTTTCATGGTTGCCAGAAAATCTCTACACCGCACTGCATTTGCGTATATATGTAGGACCACCATGTTCTTAAAGCTCCATAAGTGTCGAGCATGATAGGTAAGCACCATCATAAGTAATACTAAACTCGCGGAAACTGTTGGGTAACTCCGCCTCCAACACCTCTTGAGGAAACATATGTCCTCGTGACGGACCTGTCCGCGTACCTTCCACCTTAGCTCCTTGATTTGAGTCGCCATCCGTTCTACTACAAGATCACGCTAGGTTCCCTAGGCTGAGCTACTTGAAATCTCGACCTCCTCTCTCCGAGTCAGTATAACCAAGATTGTCATATTCAAGACCTACGGTTGCGCCAACCGAGCTGTGAAATCATATATTAGCAAATTTAATTGGACCAATTTAATTTAATAAAAATTCAGTTTTTGTACTTTCAGATTTTTCTTTTATATTATGAAAATGTAAAAGAACTATACAATAATATGTTATTACGCACAAAATGCAAAATCAATAAATTAGTGATGTGCTCATTATCTAAATACAATTAGTAATATGTTCAAAGAGTTAAATAGTTTATATTTATATCGTTAATTTATTTTTAATATTGATATAAATTGTGATATGCTCATTATCTAAATTATAATTTTAAATATTACATGCATACACATGTAACATATAAAAAATTATTTGCATCTTTGCATGTGCACAGAAACGGGTACCAATTATTATTTATTATAAAAAACAATATAATTAAATGCAATGTAATGCATTTGGACATGTCCAATTGCAGTAATTTTATTTATTATAATCTGTAATTCGTAGCAGTACTAAATAGTAAATACAATATTTGAAAATCATGGGACAAAAATATCTAAAGAAAACAAATCGCCTAAAAGACCAAAAAGCCCATCAAACAAACGCGTCGTTGTCTTAAAAAAAATGTTATAACTGTATTCCATTTAGGCGGCTGCCTCATTCGACTCTCATCACTTTCTCCTTCCTCCTTCCTTCACAAAAAAACCTCCTTTCCTTTTCACTTCTCTGTATTTTTTGACTCCTTAACCCTTCTCCAGTTTGTTTCTTTATTTTTTCTTCTTTTCTTCTTTTCTTCTTCTGACCTTTCCTTTTTTCAGAGCTCATCGCCTTTTACCGAGCCTTTTGTCCTTCTCTTGGATTTTTTTAAAATATATTTTTATGTTTTAGTTTCTTGCTTTTTGCTTTTCCTTTTCCTTTTGCCGGTGGCGGATTAAATCACTTAATTCTGTGCTTTTTGATCGGGTATATTCCGTTAGCTGTTTCCCCCCTCGAATTTGCTGTAGTTTCGTGGGTGCAAAGGCGAACCACTGAGCTTTCTACTGTGAATTGGGAATCATTGCTGTAGCTTTGTTTGTCTGCGCCAGATTTATTGGAGAAGAACAGTGGTTGGTGAGAATCTTGGCATGTGTAAAAGTTGAGTTGAGGCGAAGGCTTTAGATTCAGTTTTTATTTGGTGGTATGATGGCGGATAGTCGGCGCTACGCTCTCAATGCCCAATTAGGTATTTTGCGTTCTCAATTGTGCAATTAGCGTTCTCAATTGTGCGTTAACTGCTCGTTTTTGTTGTTGTTCACATCTGAATGTATATGTGATGCTGAACTGTACTGGTTGGGACTTTTAGCTGTTTTCTGTTTTAATTTGAAAACCAAAGAAACGTAGCTATTAATTTCCTTCAACATCTAATTCTATCATTTATACAATTTTACTCATTTGATATGGAAACCTCAATTTCATTCTGGCAAAGCTGAGCAGGGATATTTACATGACTATGAATTTTTAACTTGGAATTAGTTCTAGTGAAGTGATTAGCATGTGAATTGTACACGATGCACCAAATTTTTATAATTTTGCCACTTGTCATTTCTTGTAGCCATTTGTGGGATATTTGTAATTGAGGAATATGTTTTGCAAAAGTTTCTGAACCTGAACCGTATCTAGAAATTGAAAAAGATATTATGTATATTTGATTTGATATAATTGTTACAAGTTGTAGTTTGTAGACAGAAATGAGGTTGGCAATTTCACCAATCGGAGCCATGTTTTTGTAATGCAAATTTTGCAGAAGATGAACTGTTAGAACCATAATTTGGCCCAGATAGGAGTTCTCATTAGGGAATCATATTATTATTATTATTATTATTTTTATTTCTTTATTTTTTTTATTTTTTTTTGCCACATGTTCTTTTTAATATTAGATAGAAGTACCCTTTTTCTGTTTTCCAGATTATAATGTATTTAGATGCTAGCAAACATGCTTGATTAAGCACAATTTAGGAGATTGTAAGGCGTGATTGACATCCAGTTGAAACTTGAAACTAATTAAGCGGACTAATCACTTAAGTTGTATAGTGATGCATGGACCATTTTAAGATAGTACTGTATGTTGAAATAGGATCCGTGCTTTCTTCTAAGCATGCACGAGTGAACTTAACCGTCCATTCATTTTATGGCTAATATTTTTACCCCTGAAGTGAGCCAGCATTTTTTCTTCTCTTTTCCTTTTTTTTATTTCCTTGCAGATATCGAGCAGATACTTATGGAAGCACAACACCGTTGGCTGCGTCCTGCGGAGATTTGTGAAATTCTTCAAAATTACAAAAACTTCCGCATTGCTCCAGAACCCCCAAATAAACCCATAAGTATGATTTTATGTGAATAATTTTTCTTTTAATCCTAATTGGGGCTGTAATATCATCTTTGGCAATTAGAACCTGTTGGGTATATGGTGTTAGTCATAGTGGTCAGAATATTTGTTTAGACATCCAGAAATCAAGAAAAATATAAAGTAGAGATAAGGTTCTTTATTTATTTATTCTTTTATCTTTTCAGTTTTGTTTACATGCATTTGATCTAAAATCCTTTCTAGGTGGTTCTCTCTTTCTTTTTGACCGGAAGGTGCTACGGTACTTTCGGAAAGATGGCCATAATTGGAGAAAGAAAAAAGATGGAAAGACAGTGAAAGAGGCTCATGAAAGACTCAAGGTATGTGAAATGTCACTTTGCTTAATTTGCTTTGCTTGTTTGGCTCTAGAATATTGCATGTCATGTTTCCTGTACTCTTTTAATTTACTGCAAAGTCATCCAAGCATAAATTAAGAGACATAACAGAATCACTTTAGCTGACAGTTGTGATGATGTCCCAAAGTAACATATCAAAGGGGTAATGTTTTTTCAGGCTGGGAGTGTTGATGTACTGCATTGCTACTATGCTCATGGAGAAGAGAACGAAAATTTTCAAAGGCGTAGCTACTGGATGCTTGAAGAGTAAGCTTAATATATTCTTCAAATCTTTGCTCGGCGAAAAACATAGGAGTGTTGAAATAGCAATTTCATTATTTATGCTGATGAAGCTTTTCAATTTTCATGTCCAAGAAAACATTGTATGCAGTTTAGGGAGCGTACTTCTCCAAGAGGACCGAGACTCATAAAATATTGGGTCCTCGTTTAGTGTCTTCACAATTTACTCAATGTGTAGTTCCTCTTTTTTTCTTGGAGAAATTTTAGTTCTGTTCTCCAATTATGTCAGCTTACTTGTTGAATGTTACTGAAGAGTCTTACTTGCAAGATATCTGGGCCTAGTTAATTGTCCAAAAGGCCTAAAAGATGGTTTTGACAATCATTCAGCAATCGATTATATTTTGATGACAGAAATTACTATTTCCATTCAGTTGGCCATATAAAGAATTCAATCGGCCATTATCATGAACAGATAGTTTTCGTGTATATTAATTTATCCTCAGCAATGAAGTGCAGCCTTCAAACCAAAGGCTGTTTAACTTGGCCCAAGGGATGTGGTTAGATCTAGAATTGTTGGTCTGCAATGTGAGAAGTAGTTCAATGTAGTAAGTTGTTCTTCTACTAAATGAGTCATAATACGTGCTTAAGAATTTGCTCTAAGATATTGCTTGAAATTGCTTTTCTCTCCTCAGAATCTGATTTTTTTTTTCTCCTTCACTGATTTATTTCTTCAGGGAGTTATCTCACATAGTTCTTGTTCATTACCGGGAGGTAAAGGTAATGATGCTTTTATTGTGTTTTCTGTGATATTACAAGTCACCCCCATATGATGCTACAAAATTAGTGCATGTCTGAAACTGTATTAGCGAGACTTTAAGCATGAACTATACCATCTCTGAAGGTCCTAGAGATAACTTAGCATGCATATCAAAATCTGAAATTGTGAAATCTGTATGATTGTCTGTAAATCCAACCTCAATTGAAGAACATACACAATCAATATAGTTCATTAGTTTGGTCCTTGGCCTTATTCTGCTTAGTATTTTTGATCGGCTACTGATGAATCACAGTTGTCTTACAGCACATTTCTGATTTATGTTTCCTACAGGGTAGCAGGGCAAATTACAATCGCTTTAGGGATGCTGATGTTACTCCCAATAGTGGGCAAAATCAAGATGTATCTAATTCCAATATGTATGGATCAGAAGCTTCTAGATTTCGACAATATGATCACCAAGGAGCATCACAGGTTACTGATACAACTAGCCATAACAGTACTCAGGCTTCAGAACGTGAAGATGCTGAATCAGGTCTTGTTTTTTCCTGAATATTTTTCAAGTTTATTGGTTATCTATTGTCTATTTACTTGTGAGCCATTATTGTCAAGATTTTAATGGTTAGAGGATTTTTCATGTGCAGCATACAGGCACGAAGCAAACCCTGGACTCCAGTCTATTCATGAGTTGCAATTGCCTACAATGCAAAAGATGGAAGTTGGTTCAATTCCTTATTATCCAGTTCCGACATCAAGTAATGCATGAAATTCCTGTATTTCCTTTTGTCGTAGCATTTTATAAGTATTGCTTCTATCCAGAATTGCTAATTCCTTGGATAGTTTGGACAAATGCTTTATAAGTTTCTTAATTTATCTGTCTCAAAATTAGCAAATAGTCACCTCCACCCCAAAAAAAAAAAAGGAAATGAAATAAACTTTTATAATTACAACAAAATTCCTCACATTGCTGAAGTTAGACCAGTTTTGTCAAAATGTAGACAAGGTAGTTTTCTTTGCTGAATGTCCTAAGGTTTTCTTATGTTGGAGACCTGTAGTAATGTTTTCTATTATAACAGATAATTATCAAGGACAACTGCCAGCTCTTCCTGATACGAGTTTTGGAAATATCCAACAAGGAGAAACAAGTGAAATAACTACAGATATTTCTTTGACATACGGGCTTCACCGCAACGAATTCCCAACTTGGGAAAAAATTGTTGAAAGCAGTAACTCTGGTTATGAATCTGTGAATTTTCAGTCATCACTTTCTTCAACCCAGTCAAGTGCACTTAGTACAATGACTGGCCAGGACAATCAACTCTTCGATCAAGCTTTTACTGGTGTGTTTGGGAAAAGGCAAGAGCTTGGGAGCCATTCTGGTGGCATGGAAGCGTGGCAGGTATTGGACATTTGAGATATAATTTTGTGCATTGTTTGATTTTGTTTTTCTCTCCCAGAAGCAATAAACTACCATAAAAAAGTTAGTGAAGTCAGACAACACTGTTTCTTCTTTGCAATGAAATATAATTTCAGGATATGGACAATTGATTTCATCTAAACACCTCTATTAGGCATTTCCGCTGGAACCTTTAAAACAATGATTGTTCTCACAAATATGCTGGTGCAAGCCTGCTTTTGACCTTTATATATGAAAACTGTAACAGTGTTATTTCCAATGTCTATTAGCAGCTCAGAGTTTAAATAATGAGTTTCCTACGGTATGTGGTTTGTTCATCAAATTACTTGTCTTGGACAAGTTTTCATCTCCAACCCTTACAACTTCAATTTTTGTAATTTTAATAGGCTTCAGAGAGTGATTCTTCACACATGTCAAAGTGGACTATGGATCAGAAGTTGGATGGTAACCTGAATTTAGGGCAGAACACATATTATTCATCAGTGGGTCAGCCTCTATTGAATGATCGTACAACCAAATCGAATGATGCTAATCAAGTGGAAATTTCTGATTCATTGGGACTTCCAGATATATATCTAACAGAACAAAATGGACAGCAAATGCAAAATGACCTTCAATTATCAAACCTGAATATGGTTGAAAGTTCTCTTAGATCAGATTCCAACCAAAACCTGAATGTAGATAATAAAACCAATTATCCTGCTTTAAGACAGCCTCTTTTGGACGGTGTTATGCAAGAAGGTCTCAGAAAACTAGATAGCTTTGACCGTTGGATGAGTAAAGAACTCGGTGACGTGGCTGAGTCAACAATGCATCCTGGTTCTGGGGTATACTGGGAGACTGTTGGAAGTGAAGATGGAGATGAATCTGGCATTTCTTCTCAGCCTTTAGATAACTACGTCCTTGGTCCTTCTCTCTCTCAAGACCAGCTCTTCAGCATTATTGACTTCTCGCCAAATTGGGCCTTTTGTGGGACAGAAATTAAGGTATGTTATTTGATTCTTCGTTAAAGTTACAAATATGGCCGCTTGCGCTTGGTCAAATTACAAATTTACCCAGTTAATTTTGGATTACATACTCTTTTAGAGCATTGATTGACCTCGCGTATATCCCCAATTGCGGGTGAGTTTGTGAATGAAAGCTAATATCAAGGGTACATTTGAAAGTCCAAAAAGATAGCTCTTTTACTACATTGTCTTTTATATACTGAATCTCAAGGGTATTTTGTGACGAAACACTTTGATATAATTTAAAATTTGAAATCTGGGCTAAGTTTAATTTCTTTTTTTTTTTTCTTTTCCTGTAACAATTATTATTTTAAATATTATTTATTGGTTATTACTTGGGGATGCTCCCCCGTCCTTTCAGGTGTGAGGGGCATGACACCGTATCACTTATCTTTAGGAATCTATAAATAAATATTTGTGTTGTTTCTAGATAGGACCCTATTAGCACGTCATATATATTATATATTTGTAAGTGTGAGAGAAGCTGTTTTTTCATTTTTGGATTTTGGAATTGCTTTGTTCAGGGTTTTCAGTTTTAGAAATTATGCTCTATTATGATCCATAAGTATCCAACTGGTTCTCATTTTAACAATCTAAATCTGAAATGTTTTTATGTTTCTTTTGGAACTCATGATCAGGTGCTTATATCGGGAAGATTCTTGAGGAATTATGATCAGGTGGAGAAGTATAGATGGGCCTGCATGTTTGGCGAAATAGAAGTTCCTGCACAAATTGTAGGAGATGGAGTTCTTAGATGCCTTACACCTGGACATGAGACTGGAAGGGTTCCATTCTATATCACATGTTCTAATAGATTAGCATGCAGTGAAGTACGAGAATTCGAGTTTCGTAGTTCTGTTCAGGATGTGGATCTTGGGGATACTTCCGATGAAACCCTTCTTCACATGAGATTCGTAAAACTGCTGTCTCTTGGATCAAGCACTTCTGAGGCCTCTGTCCAAGCCATTTCGCCCAAGACCTCAGAATTACGCCTCAAAATCAGTGCTCTTTTGAGAGATGATACTGAGTGGGAACAGATGTTGAACATCACTAAGCAGGATGAGTTTTCAGCGGATAAGGTGAAGGATCAGCTGCTACAGAAGCTTCTGAAGGAGAAGTTGCATGCTTGGCTTCTGCAAAAGGTTGCTGAAGGTGATAAGGGTCCCGGTGTTCTGGATGAGGGTGGTCAAGGTGTGCTGCATTTTGCTGCTGCTCTAGGTTATGACTGGGCTATACCACCCACCATAGCTGCAGGTGTCAGTGTCAATTTCAGGGACGTGAGTGGATGGACTGCACTTCACTGGGCCGCATTTTATGGCAGGTAGAAGTCATTTATTTTTTAATTTTGAAATAATTCATGTTTCTGGTCTGGTTACAGAAAAATTCCAAGGTCTTATAATTATAGAACACCATTCGGAGTTTTGATCCATTTTACATCTCCCACCTTATAATCAAGAAGATTGCAGGAACCAATGACATTTCTAATATACAATAACCCCTCTTAAATTTCAGACAGACCTAAATTCAAGATATTTTTTCTTAGTTTTCTATAACTTTTGTTTTGCTTTATATATGTATAATAGTTTGCTGAAAGCACAGGGGAGGGTCTTCTAATGATCATTGTTGTTGTTGTTGATATCTGATTTGTCGTACTTTTCTATTTCAGAGAGCGCACAGTAGGCTTCCTCATCTCTCTAGGTGCAGATCCTGGAGCTTTAACAGACCCTACCCCAATATACCCTTCTGGTCGAAGTCCTTCCGACCTTGCAGCCAGCAAAGGCCACAGAGGCATTGGCGGCTATCTAGCCGAATCTTCTCTGAGCTCCTTGAGCTCCCAACTATCAGCCATTGACTTAAAAGCTACGCAAACTCAAACCAGTGGAAAAGCTGTGGAGACAGTCTCTGAGCGCACAGCGACGCCAGCTGGCGATGAGGGTGATCAGACCCATGGACTATCGTTCAAGGACTCCTTGGCGGCCGTACGTAATGCTACCCAAGCTGCTGCCCGTATTCATCAGGTCTTCAGGCTGCAGTCTTTCCAGAGGAAGCAGATCGAGGAGTACAGTGATGGCAAATTCAGGATTTCGAATGAGCTATCGCTGTTGGCCGGTAAAAGCAAGAGAGGTGGGCAGCATAATGAGCCGGTTCTTGCAGCTGCCGTGCGTATTCAGAATAAGTTCCGGAGTTGGAAGGGCCGAAAAGACTTTTTGCTCATCAGGCAGCGGGTTATTAAGATTCAGGTAGTTTCTGTGATTTTTTACTTATTTTTGTGCCTTTGTTTCACTGGTTTATTTGGTTTCACTTCATATTTTTTTATCCTTTATTTATTTATTTATTTTTGGAGTTGATGTACACAACAGTAGACTAAATTACCTGTATTTAGCTGACCTTTTCCTTAAAAAGAACTATTCATTTAGTTGGGAATTGGAGAATAGAAGAAATAGCAGAAATTACATTTAATGCAAAGGACAAATAGGAAGAATAGGGAAAATAATTACAATGCCCTTACATTGATTATACTATCTTAAACAGTGAAGTCTCCTCCAAATCTCTCCTGGATGTAGTTTGTTTGAGCCGAGTTACATAAAGACCTTGTTATCTTCCAATATTCGGAACCCCTTGATATTCTTGTATCTTTTCTGAATTTCATCTTTCAACAAGATGATTTTGTTTAGGCGACTGCAAACATCAAGAAGATGAGTGGAGCTTTCTTTTGATTGGGGCTAAATCTTAAGGGCATTTTTTTTTAAGCATCCCATTTTAGTTGATCTTCCCCTATGGATTTGAATGTCCTATGCTAACTATTGTCTTTTCTGGAAAGGCTCATGTGAGAGGACACCAAGTTAGGAAGAACTACAGGAAGATAATCTGGTCCGTGGGAATTCTAGATAAGGTCATCTTGCGGTGGAGAAGGAAAGGAAGAGGACTGAGCAGGTTTAAACCTGAAACACAAGCCATGGACTCTAGCATGGTGGATACAGAAACAAAGGAGGATGACTATGATTTTCTAAAAGAAGGCCGAAAACAGACGGAGGAGAGACTGCAGAAGGCCCTTGCGAGAGTGAAATCTATGGTTCAATACCCTGAAGCCCGAGATCAATATCGCAGGTTGCTGAATGTTGTCTCAGAAATGCAGGAAGCCAAGGTACAACTATTTTTTTCTAATATAGTTTTTTTTTCTTCACTAAGTGAGCTATTTGGTCTTACATCTTTATTTGTATATAAAAAAGTTTTGCATCTTCCTGTAATTAATGAATTCAGGTCTCATATGAATTTGTCTTTTTTCGTTTCTTCTTCAAACTAAAAAGTACCTTTACCTTCAAGCCTCATTTATCTTGGATTTGGGTTCTATATAAAATTAGCAAAAAGTTACGCCTAATCATTTTATGTGATGCGAGGTGGATTTCAACTTTTCACGTGTAATATAATTCGATCTTCGTAATTCGCCTGCAGGCAACATATGATAAGGTCTTGAACAATCCTGAAGTTGATTTTGACGATGATCTGATCGATTTCGAAGCTTTGTTGAATGATGACACCTTCATGCCGACAGCATCTTAGGTCCACCCTAGTGGCTGCATTTTTCTCGTAAAAAGTAACCGTCATAAAATGATTGTGTGTTTAGGTTTGCACAGGTTTGCTTGTATATTTGACCTGACTGATTTGGTTTAATCCTTGTCTGTCAAGAATGGTACAGATTTACGGCAGATTTGTGTTAGTATGAATTAACTTTCTCTTGACCTGGAAATCGATAGAATCATTATAGTGCTAATGTGAAATTTCAGTCTCTTGTAGTTAAGTGGAATTATATATATATATATATATATATATTTNNNTTTTTCTGTGTGATGCTGTATATTTATTAACTAGTGCAACTGAATTTATTGTACTGCTGGGGGTCATGAATGATACATTATATATGTGATCTAGAGTCCTCATTCTGTGATATAAAATAAGATTACGTAATTTGAAATAAAACCATGGATAAACCATATATAAATTAGTCATAAACCAAACTAATTCAATTTATAAATAATGACAAAAATAAACCACAAAGCAACCATTCATAAATCGTAAAAGTTAGTATATTTGCAACTGAAGAAAAAACTTTGTAAATATACAAACAAAATGAGATGAGAAAGTATACGATGTAATTTTCTTGTTTTTATTTGGTCTTTTTTATATGTTCACTACACTTTTTTGGAAATTTTGTAAAATTTACGACATTAAAAATAAAATCATACAAAACTAATTTATAAACAAGTTACTATGAATAAGAAAAATAATGCAATTTAGCACCCAACTACAAAAATAAAACACAAATAATCAATCATTCATAAATGGTGAAAGCTTGTACATTTTCATTGAAAAAAAAAGAAAATTCATAAATGTGAAAATAAACACAATTTTATAATGAATAGTGTAATTTTCTCTTTAAGTGAATAGTGCAATTTTCTCCTTATATTTCTGTGAAATTATAACAAATTAAAATCTCGTATACAAAAATTGTGATACGAAAAGGTTGAGGGCGATAGTATAAACTACAATGTTTCTCTAATATTTTACTAGTATTTATACTATTATTACGTGGCGAGAGACGAAAACTTTATCTACTTATGCTTATTCACTATACGATTTGTCTTACTCACAACTATTATTTTTATACTGAAATAAGGTGAACAAATCAATAATACATGCATGGATCTCATTAGTTGACATATAGATCCCATATCTTGCCTTCATATTTATGAGTTGGATAGAAGCACGTAAATTTAAATACTCTTGTTCACAGTATGTGTCACCATTATTCTATATTATTTTAAGAAATAAAAACCCCATATAGATAACCAATTGAATGAATTCACTAAATATATAAACCCCATATAGATGATTAGTTGTGCAAAATTATCGGCCATTGCACACAATATTATAAGGAATAGTTGTTGGCTAGGTGATATATATCTCCCAAATTATTTATTCATTGATAGATTAATTACTAATAATTGACACAAATTTTTATTAGGGCTTACGCATACACCTCACATATCTTTACAATATTCTATGAGTTGGTACACTAAACAAGTCTTGAAAATTCTTACACTCCCCAAACATTGGGCATAACCGTTGGGAAAATTGGTTTAGATGCAAATATTAAAGCCATGGAGTCTTGTAGAAGACTTAACCAAAGTCAATTGTTTAATATATGAATATAAGGGCTCTTCAACTTATGGTGTTGGATCATATATATGCATGCTTTTTGAAGTAATATTACTTACCCTGAGTTGAGAAGTTGGTGGAGATNAGTCTATATACTTAATCATTGTATGCTATATAAATATACATATAAACTGGAACACTATTATACACGAGCTATTTATCAATTGAAATAAAACATGAATTGGAACACGCTCTTGAAATAGGAAATTAATAGTTCTCATGCAAATGAGATAAGATTTACTGTTCCAAAATTGTATATTAATTTATGTTACAATCCACTGAATGAATGACATGTGTTCATGATAATTTCATTATTATGCACGTGCAATTTATCAAATAGATCTATTTGAATAAAAGATGAATTGGAACACGATCTTGAAAAGAATTAGACTAGACCTTTTATTTCTGGCATTAAACATGATTTATACTAGATGTTTAACTAAATACCTTTATTTATGCTATCCCAAGAAAATGAAAACATAAAATAAGAATGAACACCATGAATTTCTGGGTACATGTAAATATTTACATGTTTTTTGTCGTTGAAATGGTAAAGATACTTGAAAGTAAATTAGATTAGAGTGGCCCACATCTGTCTTGTTATGCATTTGAACGAAGAGTTGTTAGTCCTGAAAATCCTTTAAAATGCCCGATATTTAGAACACATACGTTTCTTACATCATACCAATTACGTTTTTATGTGGAACATTAAACTTCATATTGACTATTGTTATAACTAGTACAGAGCCCGTGCGATGCACGGGGTGTACAATTTTAAGGCTATTTATCTAGACTTATAATTATATATATGAATAAAGAAAAATGTACGGGATATATATAGTACGTGACCCGTGCAAAGCACGAGATATATTTATTTGGAGAATATTATATTATAAGATGCAATATTCAATAAAAGCTTATAATACACAAGAAAATTGTACAATGTTCAATAAAAGTTTTATAATATTCAAGTGGAGTCTTAAAGTTTCTTGTACATTAAGACTACTGACAAAATAATATTTTAATCAATGAGTTTCCTTTCCTTGTTGTGATTTGAGGAGTACAACAAATCGATATATAGCTGACTTGCTTTTTTCATTGTAATTTTTTTTCTTTTTTTTTTATAATGAATTTAAAGATATTCTAAAATATAGCAAAAATTAATTTTTTTATTACAATTAGGAATTTTACTAAATGTAAACTCTCAATCTATGGTGTTAATCAACGTTTAAGTCTAAAAAATTAGAAGTTTTTAATTCTTTTAATCAACGTTTAAGTCTAAAAAACAATAGAGTTATTATAAGTTTTTTTTTTTCTACATCTTTTAAAACATTAAATATGAGCATGTTAGGGCTAGCTTGTAAAATAATTAATATATTATCTCACTAAAACATTTATACTAATAAAAATTTAATTTTAGCATATAAATTTATCCCTTGATATAAGAGAAAGTAACAGTTTTACTTATTGTTGTTCACCATTAATATTTAGTTATTATTTTATTATATAATAAAAAAGAAATATTGTTAAACAGTGTAGTAGAATTGTTATACAATTATATGATTTTTTTTTACCATATGGATTTAATATTTTTTTTTATGATTTGATAATATAAACAAATCTATACTTAACTTTGACAAATAAAACAAATAAATACTTTAGTAAGTATTTAATGTATATACTAAATAGGAATATATTTGGTATAATCAAATAAGTCAAAGTGTACATTTTTATTTGGTATTTGATGTTTTTATTATTAAAATCTTTTTATTATACTTACCTTTTTAAAATAAATAAATAAATAAATAAACTAAATAAATAAAATATTATAATACCAAAATAGTAATGTCATTTAATGAAGTTGACTTTTCTGGATAGTAAATATAGTAAATAAAATCTCCTTTTATATAAGTATAGATTGTATAATACGAAAATAGTAATGCAATAAATGTTGTTGACTTTTCTTTATACTAAATCTGGTAAATGGTATACCTTTTAATATAAGTATAGATTATATTTTTCCTGAGCCGCTTGATATTGTTTAACAAAATACACAAGAATATGCTTGAGAGGGTAACTGTCAAAATCACTAGTTTGGTGGGAAGAAAAATCATCAAGCAAGTCCGCTAATTACTTAATTAAATTAATCCCTATGCATAAATTTAAACTAATATATATAATTACACTGAAATATGATCTATCTTAGAAAGTAGACCAAGTGACATACGTTTGCGAATGAATAAATAACTTGAACTTTGGTTTAAATGGTAGCATAGCATCCCTTTAGTAAAATTTTCGTAAAGCTCCAACAGTTGTTTTGGCTGACGCATAATCATTTAAATATGGTAGGTAGATATTGATTTTGTTTAACAATTAGTGGATAACACAGTTAATAATTTACTGAATTAATTGATACCGGATTTTGAATTATCGGGCATAACCATCTGATTAGATTAGATGACTGTGCATAAGTGTTTGGTAATGACTATTTTATTAGACTACACGGCCGTTCTAGGAAAAAATTAATTGTGCAATAAAGAATGAAAAACAAATAAAATTCTTATTGTGAAATGAAAATTATAAATAATTAATAATAATGTAAAGATATTTTTAATATTATTTTAAATTCTAGAAAATATTATGAAAAGTTATTTATTTTATTTAATATGCATTCATCTTTTTCAAAATTAAATAGAATAATTAATTTATTATGCAGTTATAATATAATATCGCTGAACAACATGGGTGCATTAAAATAAAAATAAAATATTTATATCAAAATAAATAAGTAAAGAAATTTATATTTGTATAAAATAATGATAAAAAAATAAGTTTAAAAAAAAATTAACAAAGTTAATTATTGAAAATAATACTTATATTTTACACTTGATATGTTAAAATGATATATTTTTATATTACACAGACACACACAAACACATACATATATTTGTATTATCTACAACATAATAATTTTTATTTTGAATTAATTTAAATTTTTTTCAAGTTTGATTGATATTTTGTATATACAATTTTCTTCCCTCATCTATTATATTTTTAAATATCTTCAACTTTATAATATTTAATAATTTAAAATATAATGTGTATGGGTCTAATATTTTTAAACTTTATGAAATATAATAAATATTTTTATTATTTTTTTTTTATATTTTCAAATTTAATTTGATAAATCAATTTAAATCTTATTTATGAGGATATATGTTATAGTTTTGTATCTTATATATGTAATATGAAAGTCAAATCGAAGATTATTAAAATTTATGTTTTGCCACATAAAATTATTAGGCTCAACACATTTGACAATTATGTATAGGAGGATAGGGGGATATATATAATGATCAATATTTTAAAAATCTCACCCACCCCAAACAAAAACTATGTATTGGGTTTTACGATAAATAGTTCTTTGAAATAGCTTTTGGATCTAATATATATATATATATATATATATATATAGAGAGAGAGAGAGAGAGAGAGAGAGAGAAGAATGGATCATATGAAAATGTAGATAGTGAAAGAAATAAAAACAATTCTGGACTATTGGATCAATTATATCAAAAGACATGATAA